CTAGTGGTGTTTTTCATTGTGTTTGCAGCTCTCTTTCTCAAGGGATGACCTAAATTAGAGCTTCCTCATGGGTTTTGAGATCCATTACACTTCAGGGACACCTTTTGGGTGGATGCTGCCTTTTGGGTAGGACTCACAGGTAGATTTCAAGTTCTCCATCCTTTCTAACTCATCCTTCAGATATATTCTCAAAAGCTGGTCCAAATTTGACCCTCAAACTCTCAATAAGTTTCTGTGCATCATACTTACCACAGGTTTTGGGTCAAGATATGTGGCCTCTCAGTGGCATTCTAAGTTATAACACCACCCTACCATTAGATCTTTTCTGTTACAATAAGAACAAAACAAAACAAAATAAAAAACTCTAAAGTTCCTTAAGTTCAGGCCTTCATGGCCTCGTCACAGAATCTCCAAGTATAGGGTAACTGCATGTGTGCCTTTCTAAATCCTTTCACAGTATGCCTTTCACAGTATGCCTTTCACAGTATGCCTTCCACAGTATGCCTTCCACAGTATGCCTCCAAGGGCTCAAACTGAAAGTGATCAGTTGAATACATCAAACTGATGTACTTAATGATCTTTGGCTTCTGTCCAACCCTTATGACGTTTTCTGTGCTCCCTCTTTATCCCTTGATGCCCACTCCTTCTTCTGACTCTTTTTGGTGCAACTTTATAATGATAAAATAACAAGTGTTATAAATAGCACTCTGTCATGATTCACCTAAAAATAAAATGCTCTAGTTAATATCCTCCAGGGAAAATTCTACCAATAGTTGTACTAAAAAAAATAACACTGCCAGTACATCTGAAATGTGTACTCTGATTTAATGTGTTTGGGTATAATTGAACCAATATTGGTACATTTTCATTCACTACAGTCCATAGTTTACATGAGGAGTGGCTCTTTGTGCTCTGAAGTTGTACTTTCTTTTTTTCTGATTGTGCATTTTTTTACAAGTGCATAGTGACAAACAACCATTGTTATAGCATCATGCAGAATAATTTTCTTCCCTGAAAATATCCTTTGCACTATTTATTTATCCCTTCCCTTCACCTATACCAAACCCTTAACAACCACTTATTTCCTTATTGCTATTGTTTTGTATTTTTGTAGGATGTGATATAAATGAAATCGCATTATATGTAGTCCTTTCAAGTTGATTTCTTAGTATAACCATATTGTGGAATAGCTTATCCATGATAATTAAGTGCATATACACATGTTTCATGACCCAGTAATTCTTGGTATATAGTTCACAGAATATCTTCCATATACACAATGGATGTACTTGTATGTAGGTGATTGTTTGTAACAACACTGTTCACAAGAGCAAAATGCTGAGAAGAGAGAGAGAAAGAAAAGAGAAACGATGGTTACATTTATAGCAGACAATGTGATATGTACTCACAGTAGAATATAAAACTACATAGATGAATTTCACAAGGGCAGTGGTAGACAACAAGAACAAAATGTAGTAGAATAAATATAGTCTTATTTCACTGACTTGAAGTTCTGGAATAGGCAAGATTAAAGGATCAATGCAGCCATGTTACAAATCCAATGAAAAGTAAGGGAATATTAAAAATAGTCATGACCCTAGGTAACTTGAAGAAGAAAGAAGAAGCAGGGCATGGTGGTGCATACCTGTTATCCCAGCACTCAGGAGGCTGAGGCAGGAGGATCACCATGAGTTCAAGACCAGCCTGGGCTCCATAGTGGGTTGAAAGCCAGCCTGAACTGCATAGTGAGACCCTGTCTCAAGAAAGAAGGAAAGAAGGAAAAGGAGAAAGAGAAGAAACAACTGAGGAAGGGCTGAAGCAGCTTCAACAACTCTGTTAGTTTTATATTATTTAGGACTACAAAATTTGAAATGACTATTTTAATATTATTTAAAATGTGATCTTGTCACAAAAATGAGCATATATACATTTAAACATAATACACAATATCTAAATGCACATATAATTAAACTGTTTATATGTTAATATGTTACAAGGTAATACATTATTTTGCTTGTACATTGTTATATATTGAGGTTATTTTGTTCGTGTATTGCTTTAATATTTTTGAAAACAGTAAAGC